CCCCCCGCCCACGTGGGCCTGTTTTCGCCCCCTCCCTCAGCGCCCGCGAGGCCTCTCCTCAGAGGCGGCCTGGGGCCTAGCGGGACGGCGAGGCCTGGGCCTGCCGGGATGCCGCCCCCTGACGCAGCGCCGCCGCCGTGGCTCCGCGCTCGGCCGCCGCCTCCGCCCCTTCCTCCCGCTCCGCCTCTTCCCCTCCGAGCGGCGCATGTGCCGGAGGCCTTGGCTCGGGCGGGAGGTGCGGCCGAGGCGGCGGCGACGGCAACGACGGCGACGGGGCCTCCGTCTCCCATGGCCGGGACGCGCTGGGTCTTGGGCGCGCTGCTCCGGGGCTGTGGCTGTGGCTGCAGCAGTTGCCGCCAGACCGGCGCGGCCTGCCTCCCCCTGCGCCCCGCCGCCGCCGCCCTCGTCGCGGCCTCCTCCTCCGCCGCCGCCCCCGCCGGCTGCGACTCCCTCGGCCCCTCGGGCCACCGCCGCCGCCGCCTCCTGTCCTTCCTCGGGGCAGCCACGCAGAGCCGCGGCTTCGCCAGTTCCGCCGGGCCGCTGCCTGGCTTCGGCGCCCTGCGGGGCTCGCTGCTGTCTCCGGGCCTCGCGGGGAGATGCTACAGCCGGGTAGGGCCTCCGGAGCCGGGGCCCGGGCCGGCTTTCGCCCCGGGGAGGGGACGGGAGGAGAAGGGCTCGACGCGGAAGGGGCGGCGGCGGCGGGGATGGTGGTGGATTTTTTATGCCGTTTTCTCTAATGCTTTCTTATTCTCTTTCGGTGTTTTTTTTTTAGCCTCTGAGAGATCCTGTTGGGGAAACGCGTGTTGTTGCCAGTGTTCCCTCTAAGCTGAGTCAGTGTGAGCTAGCTCACCATTTTTGAGCCTCCGGCTCACACATTTTTGTCTTAGCTCAGGAAGGATGTGGCTCCAGAGCAAACTAATTTATGCAGCAGCCAAATGGCTTGCTCACAGCTTTAATGCCAGTAGCTCACAAAGTAGAATTTTTGCTCACAAGAACCCAACGCTTAGAGGGAGCATTGGTTGTTGCATTTAAGCCCTTTTATTTCGGTGTCATATCCCAGGGTAGCATTCAGTGCTCCCGCTAAGCCGTGGAGTCTTGGGAGCAAAAAATGCTAAAAATGCTACTTTGTGAGCAAGCAGTTTGGCTATTGCATAAATTAGTTGGCTCGGGAGCAGTGATCCCTCTGAGTTGTGGAGTCTTGGGAGCAAAAACCCTACTTTGTGAGCGACCGGCATTAAAGTTGTGAGCCAGACATTTGGCGACTGGATAAATTAGTTTGCTCTGGAGCCACCTCCTTCCTGAGCTGAGACAAAAAATGTGTGAGCTGGAGGCTAAAAAACTGAGCTGGCTCACATTTATTTATGTATTTATTTATTTATATTTACATTTATATCCGCCCTACCCCGAAGGCTCAGGTCGGCTAACAGGGGCACAAAGTGCCAAGTTAAGACAATAACATATAATTTTAAAACAAATTACAATAAAATATAAAACATTGACTCAGCTTAGAGGGAACACTGCTCTGGAGCCGTCCTTCCTGAGCTAAGACAAAAATGTGTGAGCCAGAGGCTTAAGAAACTGTGAGCTAGCTCGCACCGACTCAGCTTAGAGGGAGCTCTGGTAGCATTGCGTGGCCAGACCCCCGCTTTGCTCGGCCTTCGTGTTCACAGCGACTCTGTGGGGTACCTCAGGCCGAGACTAGTGTGTGTGACTGGTCCTACTCCCTTGCTGGCCCTCGTGGCAGAGGAGGGATTCGAACCTGGGTCTCTGCCCAGAGTTCTCAGTTTGGTATAGTGGTTAAGTGTGCAGACTCTAATCTGGAAGAACTGGGTCTGATTCCCCACTCCTCCACTTGCAGCTGCTGGTGTGGCCTTGGGTCAGTTACAAGTTCTCTCAGAGCTGTTCTCTCAAGGGCAGTTCTCTCAGAGCTCTCTCAGCCCCACCTCCCTCACAGGGTGTCTGTTGTGGGGAAGGGAAGGGAAAGGAGTTTGTAAGCCACTCAGAGTGAAGGACGGGTTATAAATCCAGTCTCTTCTTCTTCTAATCGCTATATCACACTGGCTTCTTCACCTGAGGAGTTCGGGGTAGCTTGTTTGACTATTTCCAAGTCTGCTAGGATGTTCGAGTTTTATCTTCCCAAGAACTTAATGAGGGAGGCTTGCTTATTTGCTTAGATAGTTCATATTTATTCATTAAATTAGGTTTTTAAACCGCCCTCCTCTGCAAAGCAGGGCTCAGGGCAGGGTAAAGGTAAAGGTTCCCTTGCTCGAAAGCCAGTCGAATCCGACTCTGGGGTTGCGGCGCTCATCTCCGTTTCAAAGCCGAAGAGCCAGCGCTGTCCGAAGACGTGTCCGTGGTCATGTGGCCGGCATGACTAAACACCAAGGTGCACGGAACGCTGTTACCTTCCCACCAAAGTGGTACCTATTTATCTACTTGCAATGTCTTGCTTTCGAACTGCTAGGTTGGCAGGAGCTGGAACTAGAGACGGGAGCTCACTCCGTCTTGCGGCACCCGGGTCTGGAACTGCTGAACTACTGACCTTCCACAGCCTGCCGTTCAGCGTCTTAACCACTTGACCCACCGCAGCTCCTCAGGGTGCAGGGTACATCAGTTTAAAAAAGCTTATAGATTAGTTTAATAAGTTAAGAACAGTAAAAGTACCATTAAAATACAGTAAACAACCTGATAAGATGGGGTTAAGTTATACCACTGCCTCATGGGGGGGGGGGGGCAGGAGACAGGAGCAACTAGACAGATGGCATTGCTGTCTTCATATGAAGAAGAATTAGAGTGGGTTTTTATACTGGGCTTTTCTCTACCTTCTGGAACCTCAAAGCTGCTTGCAATCACATTCCCTTCCTCTCCCCACAACAGAACAAATTTTGAGTCCAGTGGTACCTTTAGGGCCATCAAAGTTTAATTCTGGGCATTAGTTTCTGTGTGCATGCAGGCATCTTCGGATACACTGAAACAGAACTTCCTCAACTGTTACATATTGGGGGGGGGGAGTTCGTTACCAGGAAGGCCTAGTTAGAGCACTGATGTCAAACTCATTTGTTATGAGGGCCGGATCTGACATAAATGAGACCTTGTTGGGCCGGGCCATGTGTGTCGTAATGGTAATGCCAGGTAGTGGAGATAGTCATAATGTAATGCCAGGTAGTGGAGATATAAACTTTATAAAGGGTTTTTTTTAAACTTAAAAACGTGCTTAAAACATTAGCACTCTCGGCATATTTTGTTTATTTAACAGTGTCTGATAACTGACACCTCTTGCTCTGAATTATTGCATCAAAATGTCTGTGCTTTTGCAATCTTGAGTATGCTGTTCAGGTATGTATCTGTAAGCTGCAAACTTACGATGATGCAGCAGCAGCAGAACTGGAAGAAAGAGCAGAAGACAGCCAGTTCCACTGCGGGCCTGATAGAAGCCCTCCGGGGGCATGTTTAACACCCCTGAGTTAGACTCAAGATGCATAAGTAACTGGGTGATAAGTTTAGCTAAGACTGGATTAAAGCAATTGGTAAGACCTGTGAATAGAAGCAAATTAGCATACAGGTAATAAAGGAGTTAACAAACAGATGTGAGAACTAAGTTTGAGTCCTATGACATTTTTAAGACCAACAGAGTTTAATTGTGGGTATAAGCTACAACGGAGTGACTTAGCACGTGTAGTGAGATAAAAAATCCAATTTTGCTGTTAAGCCCTGGGGGTTCCAGTGCCCTGAGTGTTGTAATAACTTGTAATTCAGCAATCTCCTGTTCCAGTCTTTCTGAAATTTCTTTGCCATAAAACAGCTACTTTGAGGCCCCCCATTGAGTGCCCTGAGAGGCTGAAATGCTTTCCTACAGGTTTCTCAATTTTGTGATTCTTGATGTCCGATTTGTATCCATGTATCCTTTGGCATAGGGTTTGACCTGTATACCCTATGTCGAGAACTGAAGGGCATGGTTCGCATTGAATGGCATATACAGTGTTAGAAGATAAGTAAGGGAATGTGCCTGAGATGGTGTAGTTGAGGTTGTCAGGTCCAGTGATTGTGTTGTCTGGGTGTATGTGGCAGCAAAGTTGGCACCTTGTGAGGTAGGTGGGGCTGAGAGTTTAGGGAGAACTGTGACTGGCCCAAGGTCACCCAATAGGCTTCATGTGGAGGAGGAGTGGGGAATCAAACTCGTCTGTCCAGGTTAGAGTCGGCCACGCTTAACCACTACACCACACTTTGTCTCCCGATAGTGAGCGTCCTGTAACGGTTCGACCTTGGAGACCCAGGTTCGAATCCCCACTCTACCACGGAAACGTGCTTGAGTGGCCTTGGGCCAACCAAACACTGTCAGCCTAATCTACCTCATTGGGTTGTTGTGAGGATAAAGTGGAGAGGGAAATGACGTAAGCAGCTTTGGGTCCCCATTGGAGAGAGAAGTTGGGAATAATTTTTTTATTTATGTATATTATTTATAGTTTGCTTTTCCCACGGGGAGTCAAGACAGATTAAATATTTAAATAAGAGAGACTTGCTTGAGGGGGTTTACAACTAAAACAATAAAACAAAACAATTAAAGCACAACAAAGGCATTGAAGAAGCCAAAGCTGGTGGGTGGCTGTCCCCAACGATGCTCAACTTTTAACTTTTGTGACAACCCGTTGAAATAGGGTAGATTGACTGGAGTGAGGTTTCCCAGGGTGCTTTGTGGATTGAGGCTTGGTTGACTGGAGTGAGGTTTCCCAGGGTGCTTTGTGGATTGAGGCTTGGTTGACTGGAGTGAGGTTTCCCAGGGTGCTTTGTGGATTGAGGCTTGGTCTCTGTCACAAATCGTACCCCACCAGTGGTGCTAACAGGACTGGGCTTTGGGGCAGAAGTCAAGGGCATGGGCCCTGCAGGGAGGTCCAAAAAAACTACATATTTTTCAAGAGGGCAAAAAAAAGGGAGATTTCAGAATACGTGGTCAAGATTTTATAAATGGCTGGAAGAATACAATAAATGAACAGTAAAGTCTTACAGTATTATATTTGAGATACTCTTGAATTTCGTGTTTGAGATATAATGCAGTAAAGATAGATTGAATATGTGGTGATTAAAAACGATTGATACATTTATTATAAGGTAGGAGGTATTGTAATAGATATAAGTGGAAATTAATCATTTTATTCCATGGCTATAGACTCCTGGCACCTAGGAAATGCCTCCTTTTTGTTTGTTTGTCTTTGTCTGCTTAAGGGTCGCTTTAGAATTCAGCCTCAGTTATAGCACACTTCAGTACCTGCTTAGTCCTTCTGTGTTTGCAGTCAAGGTGAGGAGGGAGAGAATGTGTTCCACCCTTTAAGTGCATCCTGGTGGGCGAAACGAGCATCTTGAGCCATGTCAGTACTTGTGCCTACGAAACATAGAAGTGGTACTTACTCTAGACTAAAATTCAAGGGTATAGGATTATTTATGTGGCATTAAGGAGCCTTCAGTCTCTTCCCTGATATTTAAATGTCTTAATCATCGGGGGGGGGGGGGGCTGGAATGTGCAAAATGGAAGGAATTCCTGACAGTATTTAAAAGTTTGCAGGCGGTCCTGAGCCTAAGAACTTAAGATGATGAGAGCCAGTGTGGCATAGTGGTTAGTGTCAGACTAGGATCTTGGAGGGAGACCCCAGTTCAGATCTCTGCTCTGCCATGGAAGCTTGCTGGGTGGCCTTGTGGCAATCACATTCTCTCAGCCTAACTTAACCTCACAGGGTTGTTGTGAGGATGAAATGGAGGAGAATGATGTAAACCGCTTTTTGGGTCCCCACTGGGGATGAAGGGGAGGTAGGGGAGGTATAAATGAAGTAAATGAAGAATGCCGTTAAAGCAAAGTGGCAGAATTCTGCCCTTTCCCCTAACATTTAAGCAGTTTGAAATCTCTCATGCCTCAGTGAATGCAAATCGGTTTCAAAGAAATAGGGTCTATTTGCTGTATTGCTTTCCCCAACTGAGACCTTGCTCTCTCCAGGAGTTGCCAACCTCCAGGTGGGGCCTGGTAATCTCCTGGAATTAGAACTGATCGGATGACAGCGGTTGGTTCCTCTGGAGAAATGGCTGCTTTGGAGAGTGGGCTCTGTGGCATTGTAACCAGTGATGTAGCTCCCCAACTCCCCCCAAAAAATCTCCAGGAATTCCCCAAAACTGAGTTGGCAACCCTATCTAGGAGGGCCCATGGCAGAAACTCGGAAGCGCCCCTGAAAGTCCCATGAAATCTGCCTTCTTTCAAAGCCCGTCTGCATTAAATCCAGTGGCTTGTTCTGGTTACAGCCAGCTGTGCCCTTTCCCCTTTCCTTGCGTCACCTTGAGAAAGACATTCTCAGACAAGCCAACAAAGTCACGGACAGAGGGCTTTTCCTGCCTGCGTCTGAAGTCAAGGGTCACTGAAAACCATGTCAAATCTCACCAGACTGTTTTAGAATGTTGTACAAGTCTAAAGGCCTCTTTTTAAAAAAAAAATACAGTTTAGTAGTTGGCTTAGTAGTTCTAATCTAAAGTTGACTGTGCGGCCTGTGTGTTGCCAGTTTGGTTAAGTGCACAGACTCTAATCTGGGAGAACTGGGTTTGATTCCTCCCTCCTCCACTTGCACCTGCTGGATGACCTTGGGCAAGCCATAGTCCTGGCACAGCTGTTCTTGAAAAAGAGCCGTTTCTGTCAGAGCTCTCTCAGCCCCGCCTACCTCACAGGGTGTCTTTTGTGGGGAGGGGAAGGGAAAGGAGTTTGTTAGCTGCCCTGAGACTCTGAGTGAAGGGCGCGGTACAAATCCAATCTCTCCTTCTCCTTCTTCTAAGTGTGCAAATAAGAAGAAACAGAAGTGCCACTTCATGAAGGCAGTTTCAAAGCATCTTTATGTTTAATGTGAAGAGTAGCATCCAGCAGGCCTAGCGAATGTGTTCTTCATATCGGTGTGAATTATGAAAACTGAAACAGACAACCTTGGTCTTCCAGATTTTAATGTGTTAGTGAAATCTCCCCCCCACACACACACACCACACACACACAGGCTGAGCATACTCATGATATTGAGGACATGCACCGAAAGATCTTACGGCTCAGATTGTATCGCAGAGGGAGTGTTGGCTCGCTAGTCGCTCGTTGGGAACGGCTGTGAGACCAGAAAGGGCTTTTTGCTTTTATGCAGGTTTCCCAGACAGACCTCTTTCCTAGATATATTGCCTCCTCTTCTCTTTGTGCACTGCACCACCCAACCAGGCAGATGGTCATGCTCCTGTGTCCCTAATCACTGTGATGGTAGTTAAAGGGTTGAACTAAGATCTGGGAGAGCCGGTTTTGAATCCAGACTCTGCCTCGGAAGCTTGAAGGGTAACCTTGGGCCAGTCCACTCTTTGTCAGCCTCGCCCATCTTACCTGGGGAGTGCTGGGAGGGTAAAATAGAGAAGGGAGAGCAGTAGCGTAAGCTGCTCTCCTGGGGTGCGGGGACAGTGTTCCCTCTAAGCTGAGTTCGTGTGAGCTAGCTCACAGTTTTTTAGCCGCCGGCTCACACGTTTTTGTCTTAACTCAGGAAGGATGGCTCCAGAGCAAACCAAGTTATGCAGCAGCCAAATGGCTCGCTCACAACTTTAATGCCAGTCGCTCACAAAGTAGGATTTTTGCTCACAAGACTCCACAGCTTAGAGGAAGCATTGCTGGGGGAGGAAAGCAGAGTATGAATAAATACAGCCTGGTATAATGTGCTTGGCTTGTAGGTCATGTTATAACAGTGAAACCACAATCTCTCTCCATAGGAGCCCAATGTTCCGTTTCAGGATGAGTATCCTGCCCTCTTGGAATACGAGCCGCCTCCATCCAAGTCCAGCGAAGAAGACGACGTGTATCTTATTCGAGCCCAGGGTCTGCCTTACTCCTGTACTGAGGAAGATGTTCTCAACTTCTTTGCGGGTACTTTTTATTCCTCAGGGTGTCTTGAGAGGATGTCTAGGGATACCGTTCTCAAAATACTGGGAACCAAGTCTCATATCAGTCATTGGGACTTGTTTCCAAGAAGGTGTGGTGAGGGTCAAGTTGTAAGAACTCTTTTCTTCTGGAATACTTGAGAACGATCATTATACGGAGCAATTTACACCAACCTGGGGCCCAGAGACACTGAATTTGGGAGTTCTGGCTAATTGATATAGGTAAGGTAAAGGTTCTCTTGCTCGAAAGTCAGTCGAATCCGACTCTAGGGTTGTGGTGCTCATCTCCGTTTCCAAGCCGAAGAGCCAGCGCTGTCCGAAGACGTTTCCGTGGTCATGTGGCCGGCATGACTAAACACCAAGGCGCACAGGACGCTGTTACCTTCCCACCAAAGTGGTACCTATTTATCTACTTGCAATTTCTTGCTTTCGAACTGCTAGGTTGGCAGGAGCTGGGACCAGAGACGGGTGCTCACTCCGTCATGCGGCACACTCGGGTCTCGAACTGCCGACCTTCCAGTCTGCAGTTCAGCATCTTAACCACTTGAGCCACGGCACTCTTTACCTAATTAATATAACTTAACCCTAAATAACCATACTGAGGTAGTAGAAAAGAGCAAGAGTCCACTAGCACCTTAAAGAGTAACAACATTTGGGGCAGGGGATGAGTTTTCACGAGTCATCTGAAGAAGTGAGCAGTGACTCGTGAAAGCTCCTCCCCTGCCACAAATTTTGTAACTCTTTAAGGTGCTGCTGGACTCTTGCTTTTTTCTACTGCTGCAGACAGACTAACCCGGCTACCCATCTTGATCATACTAAGGTAACCTGGCTGGATATATATAGTACTTTATGTGGGTGAACATGTTCGGAGTTGTGCTGGTTGCTGTACTTTTATGAGGTTTTAATACAGTGCAAAAATGATTTGTGCCCTATGTGGGTGCGTGTTGACGATCCACAGTAGGCTGTGATTTGCCTTCAGGTATGCTTTGGCTAAAACAGTGATGAAGCAGTAAGAACATAAGAACGTAAGAGAAACCAATGTTGGATCAGGCCAATGGCCCATCTAGTCCAACACTCTGTGTCATACAGTGGCCAGAAATACCAGGGGCCATCAGGAGGTCCAGCAGTGGGGCCAGGACATTAGAAGCCCTCCCACTGTTGCTCCCCCCCCCCAAGCACCAAGAAGACAGAGCATCACTTGCCCCAGAGCCCCTATCTATACCTTGTGGCTAATAGCCACTGATGAACCTCTGCTCCAGATGCTGATCTAATTCCCTCTTGAAGCCGTCCATGCTTGTAGCCACCGCCACCTCCTGTGGCAGTGAATTCCATGTGTTCATCACTCTTTGGGTGGAGAAGTACTTCCTTTATTTGTTTAATTGTTGAATAATGTCTTCATAGGCACAATAGGATTATAAATGATTCAGCTTCCTTGAATAGCATCTTTCAGAGCAGTGGTCGTGTGATGGAGGGCAGGAGTTCCTCTTTGTATGGCCTGATGGATCCGCTGTAGGGTAACGTCAGAAATGAGATCATCACACTCTGGCCGTGTCCATTGATGGGGGGGAGGGTTTGACAGCCTCCCAGGAGTGTGCAGATTGGGAAACTGAACCGTAAACTGCTGCTTCCCTAGGAGCAGGGGACAGAAGCAACGAGGTTTAGCATAGGGAGGCAGCAATTAGATTAAACTCCCAAGTAAACCATCTCTAATGTAAGGGGTCACATTCAGCCCTGGACTAAACTGCTTTGGGAGACTTTAGAACGGGGTTTGATATGGTTGCGAGCGCAGTCATCGCCACTGGAGAATCAGGAGGACTGGTGAGTCCCTGGGCTTTCCTTTGTCAGTGTGTGGGTCCATTCTGCCTTGCAAGGCTTACGTCCTGTCCCCCCGTCCCCCCGGTTACCTTCTGTGAGTCTTCTGCAATGGGGGGAGGGAGGTTTGACTCTGCCGCCTATGGTAGCCATTTTGGGATGGCGCTCATCACCTCCTCTCAGAATCCCAAAGGCGCTTGCAAGCTCAAAAGAAGTTTGGGACTTCCGCTATTGGATCTCATAGCTGGGTGACTTCCAGGTAAAGATTAGGGAAAAATCTGTGTGGAGTTCTTAGTATATCAGGTATCCTGTCTTGGTTTCCCTCAGTCCCTGACGGCCTGCTGGGTTCCTTCCAGTGCATTCTAGGAGACTTCTTTTTGTCTGCACTCTTTAATGCCTCTTTAAAAAAAATGCATGTCAAGGCCTTGTCATAGATCATGCTTCTCTTATGCAGAAACCTTTTCCGTTTGGGGGTAGTCCAGAACCTCTGTGTTGCTCAACACGTGTGTGTGTACGCGTGTGTGTATTTCATTGCATATAGCTAATTGTGGCTGTGGTAGACCATGGATTTTTGGCGCGTGAGCACACTGTAAAATGTGCGTGTGCATTTGCCGCAAGTAATTATTTACGTCCATTGCATTGTTTTCTATGCAAAAAAAGCATAATGTGGGGCATGGTCTTCGGGTCTCCAGATGTTTGCCTGACCTGACTCTGAAAACAAGACAGATGTGTCCGATATGTGGGGTGGGGATGTATTTGAGCACTCCTGTATGAGTGCTGAATGTTGAGGTAGCCATAGGCTTGCAGATTTGACCGGCTTCAGTAGCCAGTCAGAATATAGAAGGAGAAATAAGAGATTGGATTTATACCCCGCCCTTCACTACCCAAAGGAGTCTCAGAGCGGCTTTCCTTTCCCTTCCCCTCCCCACAACAGACCCCCTGTGAGGTAGGTGGGGCTGAGAGAGCTCTGACAGAAAGTGCTCTTTTTCAAAGACAGCTGTGCCAGAACTACGGCTTGCCCAAGGTCATCCAGCAGCTGCAAGTGGAGGAGTGGGGAACCAAACCCGGTTCTCCCAGATTACAGTCCACGCACTTAACCACTACACCAAACGGGCACCAAATATATGGTTGTGACTCCCTGCCTCTCCTTTGCAGGGGAGTGGTGGGGTCTTGTCTCTGACTGCATGTTGAGGTTTGGGGGGGGGGCAGGCAGGGAATTGTTTTCACAGGTGTGCTTCCCAGGAACTTAGAGCTCCTACGAAGTACAGTGTGACTCCAGGGAAGATCCCCCGTCTGCATCTCCAAACTGGAGGGCGGGGCTTGGGCTCGTTACGCTCACTAGAAGGAAGGGAGACATTCGTGATGGTGGGTGAATTTGGGGACTCCAGGCCCTAAGCAGGTTGCTTGGACTCAGGATTTTCTTTTCCAGTCTGCCCTAGAGTGACGACCATCTTTTGGGTATGTTGTAGGGCTATCTTTCAGCTCTGCTCCTGCAGAGTGCATGGGGCTGGACTAGATGACCTGCAAGGTCCCTTCCAACTCCAACATTCTATGATTTTATGAATAGGAAGATAAACAAAGCTTGTCTTGGGCCGTCATGTTTGCAGGGTACGGGAGGCTGGGTAGGAAGACAGTTGAGTCGGGAAGTTGTGTGTTGGAGAATTTTTGAAGTTACGAGCAATCCCTGCTTCATTAGTTGCTGTAGATTTTCCGGCTTGTGGCTTCCCTGCTTCCGTTCCCAGTGTTTTAAAATAAACATCTTAAATGTATTATGACCAGTCTTTCACATGGGACAGAAGTGCAGACACAGTCCTCTGCCTTCCAGGAACAAAGGCGTTAATTCCAGACATACAGAACCAATTCAAATAAGAGGGATCTCACATTTATTTATTTATTTATTTAAATTTCTACCCTGCCCTCTCCACGAATGGGCTCAGGGCAGCTAACAAATAGGGCACCAAGTGGCGATGCATGAAACCAATTAAAACTGGATAAAACAGAATAAACAACCAAACATTACATAAAGTGCTCAGTGCTGTTACTCTTAAATTTAAACAAGATGGTATCAAATAGATGTTGCCTCCATCCCAGTACAACGGTACCGATCTGCCGTGGCACTGAAGTGCAATCGTCATAGGGCCGCTCCGTTCCCAGTTATCAGCTGGGTTCGTTGTTGTTGTTGGTGGTAGTGGCGGCTCCTAGTCAAAAGCCTGGCAGAAGAGCTCCGTCTTACAGGCCCTGTGGAACTGTACAAGGTCCCGCAGGGCCCTGATCTCCTCCGGGAGCTCATTCCACCAGGTAGGAGCCGCTACTGAATAGGCCCTGGTTGCATGAAAGGAGGGAATCGCCTGCATGTTTGTAATCTCTGTATACATAATTTGAGCAGTAGCATTTAAACTACTGGCCAAGAATTCGTAAGACACCTGTTCAACATTCTGGATTTGGACAATAGCATCTTGGCAGTATCCTGATAGAGTTAATGGTTGGTAAAGCGGTAAAGCTCAGCTGATGCTAGCCAATCAGATTGCTTGGTGCAGCCTGTCACTCCAGTCTCTCTGGCTTTGTGAAGAATTAACCCTTCACAGTCCTTTGTCTGTTCACCCAATTTCAGTGTTGTAGGTGTGGAAGCGGAACTTTAAAGTAGGCAACCTTTGTGTAAAAAGGCAGGACTCTTCATTTCAAATAGTGGCTCAGGGTATGAATGTTGACTGGGAAGGCCCTAATCCAAATCTCATCTCAGCCGTGAGGGGCCATAGGCAAGCCCCTTTCTCACCCACCCCCCGCCTGCATCTGCAATATGGAGATGATAGTATTGACCTACTTTGCTGAGTTATTGTAAGGGTTCATGTGATGCTGTGCGGGAAATGCTTTGAACATCTTAAAAGTGTGCTATTGCCAGGGTTTTTTTACACAGGATTCTCTTCTAGGAAACATACTCCCATGCACCCAATTACTCTCTTCAGGCAGCCTTCTCTTTGTGGTGCCCTCTCCGCAGACTACAAGGAGCTGCGGTGGCTCAAGTGGTTAAGATGCTAAACTGCAGGCTGTGGAAGGTCGGTAGTTCAGCAGTTTGAGACCCGAGTGCGCCACATGACGGAGTGAGCTCCCGTCTCTAGTTCCAGCTCCTGCCAACCTAGCAGTTCGAAAGCAAGAAATTGCAAGTAGATAAATAGGTACCACCTTCCCACTGAAGTGGTACCTATTTATCTACAACAGCGTTCCGCGCGCCTTGGTGTTTAGTCACGCCAGCCACATGACCACGGAAATGTCTTCGGACAGCGCTAGCTCTTCGGCTTTGAAACGGAGATGAGCACCGCAACCCTAGAGTCAGGTTCGACTGGCTTTCGAGCAAGGGAACCTTTACCTTTACTTACTCCGCAGACTGTCCATATGACAACAATTAGGTCACTGGCTTTTTCTGCCTTCACTCACTGCATTTAGGAAAGGGTGTAAAGGTGGTTTTTCAAAGGGCATTTTGGCGGAGGATAAAATGTCCTGACACCTCTGGCTGTATTTTTAACATGTGCGTTTTTATTCTGTTTTTTTGTCTTTGCCATCTCCTTGAGTCGTAAGATAGGGTAGGATATAACTATTTTAAATTAAATAAACAAACATGAAGTTTGCACAGGCAAGATTACAATGTATGATTCAGTATTTTTTTATTTTGTGTATCTCGGAAACATGCAAGGTGCTTGCATATTCTTTTTTTTTTGGTAAACAAATTTTTATTTTCTCAGGAATACAACATATAAAACATTTCATTCTATCAATTGTCTACCCCATTCCCAGTTCCTCCCCTCCCTCCAATGGCTTCCCGCAATGCTTCCACCCCACTGAGCATAAATCATTCTCGCTGTCACTATCAGGTACCAGAGTAAAGTTTTTTTAGTCGTATTGACTTCTTCCATTTTAAGTCCCAAAAGCAGAATTTCCGGTGCTTTTTTAAAAGAACATTTCAGTATTTTTTGCATTTCATTGTGGACTTTTGTCCAAAAGTCTACCGCTTTCTCACAAGTCCACCACATGTGATAAAATGAGCCCTCATGCCTCTTACATTTCCAGCATTTGTTTGACATATTTTGGTTCATATTTGCAATTTTCTTAGGAGTCATGTACCACCTATACATCATCTTATAACAGTTTTCTTTAACATTAGTACATGTCGAGATCTTAATAGAGTTTTTCCACAAATATTCCCAAGTTTCCATAACCACTTCCTTATATGCTTGCATATTCTGATCCATACGTAGTTTTCATGTTCATTCGCGCACAGAAACACTATTTGCATAACATTTTGGTATTTGGAGCAGTAGAGCTGGAATCTTGCCAGGGTGTGTGTGTGTGTCTTTTTAAGCCTTTCTGTGTTGCAAAAGTAAAAATGTTACAAGAAATGAATGTGTCTTTGTGACTGAACCAGGATATTACAATAGGGAAAGGAGGGTCTCTGATCTCGTCATGTTCTTCCTTCAATATTTCATGCTTGATCCATTCCTAGGCAGCAAGATCCGAAATGGTGTGCATGGCATACACTTCCTCTTAAACCGTGATGGGAAACGCAGAGGAGATGCTCTGGTTGAACTGGAGTCAGAACAGGATGTGCAGAAGGCCCTGGAGAAGCATCGAAGGTATCTGGGCCAGCGCTACGTGGAAGGCAAGTTGTGCTCTGATTTCATCCGATTTTTAAATGTATCCTGAGATGCATGGTTATGACGGCCCTGTCCACTTCCCTCCCTGAGAGGCAAGATTTCCCCTCCGTTTTTCTTTCCCTTTACTGACTGAGCCACCCTAGTAATGTGTTTTCGTCTTTAGTGAAGAACTCTGGCTGTCCCACACTGTCACCTTACAATATTTTGGCTGTCGGCTCACCCCAGGAACCTGAGGGAAGGCTCGGGAGCCCGCTTTAACTTAAACACCTTAAATGGCACAAATAAAATAACAAAATATTTTATTTAACATAGAGGGAAAAGGTCAGGCGAAATCAGGGGTTGAAATTTCTGAGGTAAAACCAGTACATCCACAGACTTTTAGTTCTTGTGTTTCAGGCTAATGAGACTTTCTTAAGCTTTTCACAGTGACTTGAGAGGCTTTTCTTCCAGTGTTTTCCCTGAACACTTTGGTACACTTTAAATATTCTCTAACTCTTTTGGTTTCCAGAAGGCTGGTGCACTCTTCCCAGTACTCATGCCCCTTCTCTTGAAACACCTGTACTCATCTTGAGTTTTTACAGGCAGGTTCTAACCACACCAGAACAGGGATCTCTGCACTCTTCAGAGCCAACTCTTTGTTTGATTGGTTTGGGAAACTCTCCTCTCACTAGCTGTCCCCTTTCTTTAGCCCGAATGGGAGTCTCCATCTAACTACCCACTCATCCTTGCCAACTTTCCCCTGGTTCTCCCATCCATGTTAAACTGTTCTCAGTCAGGGCTGAATTCTGAAACTGTCAGTACTCGACTTTTCTCAGCTAGGGCTGAAATCAGACTGAATCCTCCTCAGCATCCAGTTCAGAAATCTCTCTCTGCTCAGCTGACGCTCTTGGAACAGTCTGCCACTGAAGGCTCTCTGGCTTTGTGAAGAATTAACCCTTCACAGTCCATTACCCGTTTACACAGCAGTTCTGAGCTTATAAAAGTGCAGTCCGTCACAGTAGTTCTGTGAGCTGAGTGGGAAAAATGGAACACAGAGATACAGGAGAGAAGGAACATAACATTTCCAAAACCTTTTACGTCTAATAAGGGGAATCTTACCATTGGCCTGCATACCAGTGAGTGTATTCTCAGTGTCTGCCGGTCTTGATTTATACTCTGATGTACCTGGAACCCCTGCTTAAGGCAGCTGCCAGGCTAGGTTGTGGCCTGTGGTGCTTATGCCGAAAAAAATTAACCAGTGTCCTAGGTTTCTCCAGTGTCCTCTTTTTCAGCTATTGGTTCTTTCCTGCGCACTCTGGACTTGGCTTTCTCTAACATTCCCCCTTCCGACAACCAGGAAATTTTAACAAGCAAACTAATCCTCTTGAGGCAACACAAAGGATTTCACAAAGGATGTTTGGTTTAACATCCCTGAAAGGGAAATGGATCTTTCACGACAGTTTCGATAGGCCCACTTCCTCCCACCCAGCCTATTGTGGACAGCCTTAGCTACGCCCGCTTCATGTAGAGCTCTGAGGAATTGAGTGTAGCGTTGTCAGAAGTGTGGTGATGTAGCATGCCTGGGCCTTGATTTGGAAAGTGGGTGGGGCTGCTACTGCAGGTGAGAGAATCCCCTGATCACCTTGCTGAAGTTGGAGAAGTCCACTCGCTGAGCATTTTTAAGTGGATTCCTTCTTGCCTTTTAATATAAGGCGACATGTTCTTTTCCAAGGGACGGAAGAAATACGAACTCCGAGCAGTATTTCTATCCCCTCTCGCCGTTTTTTTCCTAAAGATGTTCTAGGATGACTGGTGTCACCATTCATACAGGTGAACGATCTTTTCCTTGACACTCCTGAGCTTAGCTTTGGAGTGTACCAGTCCTGTCTCTTTCCAGTCAGTGTCCCACAGGTGGCTGTGTGATGGGCACAGGTGCCAGGGCTGTTTCAGAGGCAGTAAGGTGTATCTGGAGCGGGAATCAAATATTGTTAAACATGAATGACCAACACTGTTTCATTTTGCGCCTTACCTTAGGGTGATCGAAAATCCCCCTGCACCAGAGTTAGAAAACTGGCTCCTGTTTCAGGAGATAGAACTTTCCCGTCTCCTCCTCCCTGCAAGCAGTTTGATGTGGTCTCCCAAATCCTGCTCTCGGGTGGTGATGTAGTGTCCACATGCAGTGGTTAGAGTGTTGGACTGGAATCTGGTTTGAATTCCCATTCGGCCATGGAAGCTCACTGGGTGATTTTTGGGCCAGTCATACGCTCTCAGCCTAACCTACCTCACAGGGTTGTTGTGAGCATAAAATGGAGAAGGGGAGAATGTTGTAAGCAATTTGAAATCTTCCTTGGGGTAGTAAAGTAGGGTACCAATGAATTAAATAAATGAAATCAATATCAGTGGACCCTTGGGAATTACTTACTGGATCTGCAGTGGGAGAAGGCAGCTGGTGGGCAAAGCGAGGCATCGGATCCAGTACAGACTGTGTATTTAAATATCTGGTTTTCATGGAGTCCCCACCCACCCACCCATTGCAGTTTTTGAAATTCACAACGAGGACGTCGAAGCCATCATGAAGAGCTTGCAGTCCACCTCGACTTCCGTGACCAACGACGGGGTCGTGCGACTGAGAGGCCTTCCGTACAGTTGCGTCGAAGCGGACATTTCTGAGTTCTTCTCAGGTAAGGGTGTGGAGCGGGCAAGCAATTGTGGGCACCCGACGGAGTCCAGGGTCATGTGCATGCCTGGAACAAAAGCAGGTCCTTTGTCCCCGTGGCAGTGTGGTGTTGTGGGCTGACGAGGACAGGGGAGATCTGGGTTTAAATTCCCATCTAGCCTTGACACTCCCTGGGTGACCTTAGGCCGGTCACTCTCTGTCAGCCTGCCTCACAGGGTTGTTGTGACAGGAAAAAGTTTGAGTCCAGCGGCACCTTTGAGACCGATAGAGTTTAATTCCGGGTAGAAGCCTTCGTGTGCACGAATGCTTCTTCAGATAACATTGAAACAGACTTCCTCAAACAGATGTGAGAACTAAATTTAAGCCCACGTAGAGGACTGAAGGGCATTGTTGGCATTTAACGGCGTATGTGATGTTAGAAGATGAGCAAGTGAATGAGCCTGAGATGGTGTGGTTGATGTGGTTAGGTCCAGTGATTGTGTTGTGTGGACATCTGTGGCAGCAAAGTGGGCATCCAGGTTTATTGCAAGCTCTGGTCTCAGTGTCTATGTTCAAATTCGATGTTGTATTATTGTGACCAGGGGTCATTTCATAGAAAAAGAGGCACAGGAGCTCATTAGCATAACATATTAGCATAACTTATTTGCATATGCCACACCCCCTGACATCACCAAAAGTGTGTCAGAAGGCAACACCCACCCCTCAGGCTCCACTGGACTGTTTTGGATTGCTAGCTATTGGGGAGGGGGAACATGCAGGTCTGTCCTCGCAGAGGAGGGAGAGCTTGTACCTGAATAAAACTTGGTCTTAAAGGTGCCACTGGACTGTTTGGGGGGGGGGGGGCTCTGCAGCTTACCTGGCTGCTTCTTGTTCTGACTGAGGGCTGCTGGGAGCAGGGGGCTTGTTGCATGTGCCCACCCCCTGGGCTCTTTACTGCCAGAGCTCCGCTCCTGTGCAGTCCTGCAGGAAATGACCCCTGATTGTGGGTGAGGAGTTGTTTGAGACGGGGGGGGGGGATGTCTTTGGGTAAGGAAAGGTTTGCCCCCCAGTACTTGTGAAAGAGAACCATCATTATCAACTAGAGGTTGTAAGTCACAGATGATGCATTGAACTGTTGATTGGTGCTTGGTTATTGTCTCTTGGAATGTGGCTCAAAAATGATGGTCACAGTCACAGAACAGACTGCAAAAAGAAGAAACTGTGAGGCTTTCTCACTGAGCCAGCCGTGACAGTCTCTGCCCTAGTCAGTTCTGACCCCATCAGCAGCTATATTTAAAATTAGAATGTCTTTTTTTTTTTTTGTGGTCCCAGTATGCATCTCTTTATACCTTGAACCTCATTGGCCACTCAGATCCTTTTGGAGGTCTTCGCAGTCCACTTTGGTTCTCACAGTCCTGAGTAATTGGGGGTGTCATTCTGCACAGTGGCTTACCCGCTGTTCACCTCCAGTTCCAGATAACTTGTGAACACGAGCAGAGGAGGCATTTAAGTGGGAGCAGGCCAGACTGGAGAGTGGAACAACACTTTTTTCTTCATCTGCGTTTGACCTTCACGTGAGACACAGAGGCCAATACAAACGTGCTGCATTTTGCATTCATTTGAGTGGGAAATAAATGCTCAAGCGATTGACCCGCTACCTTTCAGGTTGCTTGGGGTTGCCTATGGGAACGTACATTCGTTCATCTTCTCCCACCGCAAAAGGCAAACAGGGTTTGCCGGTACTAAGACAAAGCCAATGTCTTTTCTTACAGGCTTGAGTATCGTCGACATAACATTTGTCATGGACCAGAGAGGTAGGAGGAAAACAGGAGAGGCGTTTGTCCAGTTTGCTACCCCTGAAATGGCTAATCAGGCTTTGCTGAAGCATAAGGAGGAGATTGGGAACCGGTAGGTGCTGAGTGGAACGTGGTCGGCCAGGCCGTTTATGGGAGAGGGTGTGGGCGGCTGCATTCCGGTTTTTCCTGTTTGTTCTCAAGACAGAAAAGTCGCCACGTGTGAAGCAGATGAGAGGCTTGATGCTACTCCTTTCCCTTGCCTTTTTTGCTACCTAAAATTGACGCTGGATTTCTTTTTTAAAAGAAAGATGGTGCTTGTATACATTCTGAGCTCGTGTGCTCAAGTGAACAGCATTGGGTCTGGCTGTAGATTTGAAGAAGTCACCATCTCCGCTTTAGTGCCCCGTTTTGTGAAGCTGGGATAGTACAGAGCCAGGGGTCCCCATCAATAGTCCCTCTAAGCTGTGGAGTCTTGTGAGCAAAAATGCTACTTGGTGAGCTACCGGCATTAAAGTTGTGAGCGAGCGATTTGGTTGGCGCATGAATTAGTCTGCTCTGGAGCCACCCTTCCTGAGCTAAGACAAAAATGTGTGAGCCGGAGGCTAAAAAACCGTGAGCTAGCTCACACTAACTCAGTTTAGAGGAAACGCTGGTCCCCACCATTTGTCATCTTTTGGGCATGGAGTAGGGGTCACTGGGGGGGAGGTATTTGTGAGTATACTGCATTGTGCTGGGGGTTGGACTATATGACCCTGGAGGTCCCTTCCTACTGTATGATTCTACGGTGGCCATGGGTGCTCTGGCACCCACCAGCACCTTCCCTGGCGCCCAGTGAGCATTTTTAGAAAGTGGGTGGGGTCAAGTGGGGCCCTTGCCTAGCAGGGCTTCTGATTGACCACTGGAGATCGGATTGGCTGTATAGATTAAAACACTGTTTTTGGTGGCAGCTGCTAAAACTGTGTTGGTTTTTTCTCTCACACACTTCTTTTTCCCAATGCATTTTTAAAAAATTAC